GATCAGTTTGACTTGCAAAAGACCAAACAACCCAAAACACTGATCGCAGTTCTGTGGGAAAGAAAGTGTGGCATGAATACTTGAGCTAGAGTTTTCACACATGCTTTTCACACATTTGTACGCGTTAAACAGGCAACCTTTCGCAAGGGCATGATCATTTTGGTTTAGATGAGGATAAAAGGTAGGCCTACTTTCAAAATGGAACTGTGTGTTCCTTAAATTAAACAAAAGTATACAAAATTAAAATGCATTATACCAGAATTTGTATTTTTTTTTAGGTTGACTTCAGTTCATCTAAAAAAAAAAGTTTATTTTCCAATCTACAAAGATAACGACATGTTTATCCATTTTTAATGAATCTGAAAACTTTATGAAGAACAGTTACATGCAAGTGCTCTGTAAATTACATGAAAAATTAGAAAACAATCTAATCTTGCAGACTTATGCCTTGTTTTCAAAAGCAAACAAAAACTAATCCATCCAAATGCACACATTTCAAATGAATTTTTTTTGTATGCCAATGCAAACGTACAATGTACAGTGATACCCCCCACACACACCCCCCCAATTGACTCAAGTCATTCTGGAGGGGAAAAAAGGGAGCCTAATCCTTACCCTGATACTGAGCATCGGAGAGTACAGTCCCCTGCAAGAGAAAGAAAGAGCTAGACTTAGAATCACCTGAGATAAAAAGTTATGTAGTTTTATCGTGGTTCAGCATAAAAATACATCTGACAATACTGTTTATATGCGCCTAAAAATAGTTTCATTTGTAGAGAAAATCAGCCAGCTTGTGGACTCCCTAAATTCAACGAAAGAAAACCTGGAATGATTCCATCTGTAGAGAAAATCAACCAGTTTATGGACTCCCTAAATTCAACGAAAAAAAAACAAACAATGGAATGATTCCATCTGTAGAGAAAATCAGCTAGTTTGTGGACTCCCTAAATTCAAGAAAAAAAAAACCTGGAATGATTCCATCTGTAGAGAAAATCTACTCTTTACCACTCCCTAAATTGAGAAAAAAAAACTTTGGAATGTGGTCTTTTCCAGGCATGCACAGAAAAGGCCTTGAATTTTCAGCTTGATGGAGCAAACAGGCTCCTCAGTTACAGAATTGCCAGCTCCAGAACATTTCAACAAAATCTCTCCCCTTTTGTGCAGCTGAGTTAACTTCAACCGAACAGTTGAACGACACAGTCACAGTTAGGCCAGTCATTAGGAACCCCCTCCCCCAAAGTTCTATTCCTTCCGGTTCACATTTTCCCAAAAACTCTCAGAAAACTTTCCATCAAAAAACAAGACTGAATCCTAAGCATTACACATTAAGATAATTTATGCTTGAAGACTTTTTTCATTTAGTCCTTTCAAAAAATCCCCCCCCCAAAAAAAACGATTTCTTCTCTTCGGCCAACGGGTGCACTGCCTAAGGAAGCGAGAGAGCAGGACCCTGGGTTAGCTTCCAACACAATTTATCAAGAAAGTTGTGTTTACTCACGTTTCTCTGATGTGGAAAGTAGTTCTGAGACATGATCGAAGTTGTTAGGGCGTCGATAAAGCTCACTTGATCTATCAGATCGACGTACAATCGTTGCGCTTAATTGTCGTGTAGGCTCAGAGAGATGGATCACGGCACAAGTTCATAAATCTCCCAGTCGCATCAGTTGTCATTTGACAGAAGTTGCACAGAGTGCATCATGCAGCTGAAGAAATGGGCCTAGGCTATAGGTGTACGATGGGACGATGGACTCAATCAAGCGCGAAGTATATGGGGGGCACGTCTCGAAGCTATGCCTGAAAAAAATAACGGTGGAGTAAAGGGAGCCCTCTTGTTTTATAAGCCAGCGAAAACAACTTTGTTGAGGGCGCCCTAATGCAAAGCAGAAAAAGATGAGGAAAAGTCGAAAAGGTCTAGACAACGCGCATTTCGCCACGAGGCGAGACTACGGCCAGGATACCCCACGGGAAACCGGGGGGGGAGGGAGGGAGGAGAGAGGGAGGGAGGAGGGGGAGGGAGAAAGGGAAGGAGGGAATAGAAGCAGTGTTTCCAATTCCCTCCGATTCTTCGATGCTCTACAGTGCTACGCAGTACATGTACATCCATTTATACCCCATGAAAGTCGCACTTCTTTACAACGGAATTGTATAAGAGCCTAGCCACGTGCAATAGAGTACCGAAGTGAATACGTCACGCGCACAATTAGTGTGTAAAAGGCATTAGCGCGAGAACCAGCGCGTGAACGAACACGCGCGCGTACTCCATTCGTTTGCACTGCACTTTCTGGTTCACAGTGACGTCACACTTCGGTACTCTATTTTATTATATTTTTTCTAAAATGCAACGGTGGTGGGCATGGCACCGCACTCACACGCACATTTTAGCTTGACGCGCGCGTGGATTTGGCAAATTGAGATACCCTATTGGTCGAAAAGGCTTGCAGCGCGTTAGTAAAGAACCACCTTCCCACGAATAATTTCTTCTGGTTGCTGAACATGGCCTACACTATCGATATCTCGCCGCCCCGCCGCAAATTTCTCAAGTCTCATGAGTTCTGATCCTGTTTAGCCTGTAATCGTTTTCAAATGTGTCCTTTAGGTGGGATCAGCGCAGTGATCGTGGTTTTAAGACAACACTGAACAAAAGGAGATCGAGCTTTTCAACAAAGCTTGGTTTAAAGGAAATCGTTATTTGGAGCGTGAATTCCCCACGTTAGGACGAGGGGTAGACAACTTTTTAATTCCTGGTTCTGGCGTGCGCTCTGGTTCTCGCCTTATTGCCTTTTACACATTATTGTGCCCGTGACGTATTCACTTCCCTTCGGTTTTCCATCCGTTTCGTAAGTGTGACGTCACTTCAGTTTAAACCGCGCCCACTACACACGTGCACTGGTTACATGCATTGATCGATATGGAACCATGGAACCAGGAGTTAACGCGCACTTTCAGCGCTTGTCCAACGAGAGCCTGCAAATCGTGGCGCGTTTGCCTTTAAGCTTTGTGACGAAGTCACTTACGAACTGGATAGACTATCCGATTAGACGCCATAATTACGGTGCCTTAGGAAAAGAAATTTTGCCTTTAAGGCAGAGTGACTGAAAGGCGATTTGCCAAAAGTGTATCTCACAATTTAGCCTCACACCCAGGGAGGCCAAAGAGGGCTAAATAACGAAATCCCCGAATTAGTCACCCTTCGCCCGGCCCGTGGTTGGCCCCCGAAAATCTGGTTCTGAATCCGTCACTAAACCCGCCTTAACGGGGGCAAAAAGTGTCATTGTGAAAATAAGATAGGATGATTTGCCGAAGTCTCTTCTCTCATTTGTAGATTTTGAGATATTTTGGTGGCAGCAGACATACCTTTTTTCACAATATTGCGCATGCTTGAAGTAAGTATTAACGCTCAAAACAACCTGGGCACGCTCACAACTGTTAAAAGGGGCTGGCGTGTTTACCGCTACCACTGAGCTATAAAACTAGAGTGTTGACTCAAGTACAAAGCGATGCCTGCCGGGCGCATCCATGTTTGTGCATAAACCCTGGGAAAAGTCAAAATTTTGTCCGGCTTTTGTACGGCTATTTGGATATCTACATCTGTATAGAGTACCGAAGTGAATACGTCACGCGCACAATTAGTGTGCAAAAGGCATTAGCGTGAGAACCAGTGCGTGAACCAACGCTCACGCATACTCCATTCGTTTGCACTGCACTTTCTGGTTCACAGTGACGTCACACTTCGGTACTCTATTCTAAAATGATGAACAACAAATCCAATAGGCAAACAACCTAAACGCACAATCCATGCCCCCCCCCAAAAAAAAACACACACACACACAAACGCATGCGCGTATGCACCGCACGTGAATTTTTCTGTGACGTTTTCAATCCCCCACCAAGCTGACAACTCTTAAATTAACACTGACTGGAACGACTTTTTAGTTTAGCCGAACATATTCATCGAAAGACAGCCATTGAAAGACTTGCATACGAAATCGGACGACCTTGCTCGAATGTTCTCAGGGAAACATTTGTTTTTTGAAACTTATTAGCTATGGACGCAAATAAACATTTGCCATTGCTCTGCACATATTCACCTTATTCAAAAGACATTCGTGTATGTTGTAATACGAGCGATTCACAATAGTGCGCCACCAAGAGTTTGCAACGCATTGGCCAATCAGGATGCGCGAAATTTGTCGATCCTTTCCAAACTCGCAATGGGTCGACAAATTCCCCGCATTGTGATTGGCCAACGTGTTGCAAATTCTTGGTGGTGCACTATTATGAAACGGCCGAATTGAGCGTTGCGTTTAAAATTCACAATTCGATATCGCCATTCTATCTGATTTTGAATATTCTACAAGTACGCCAATGGATGCAAAATATCTGCGCCCAGAACGGCGTCAACTTTTCTCCCAGCGGAGAATGAGAAGTTAGCGCTCTAGTTTTTATATGTAGCTCTATGGGGAAAATCCAGGGAAAAATCGAAATTTTGTACGGCTTTCCCAACGGCTAGTTGTGTATCTGCGTCTGTATCTAAACCGGTGCGCATCAACAAAGCCGAAAAACCTAAACGCACAATCAGTAAATGAGCGTTTCATCTTGCTCTGCTCTGCACGTTGCATTTAGGGCACATAATTCAATATTCATTCTGTATGGTTTAAAAATGTCATGGCGTCAAAGTTTCTCCGCGCGGAGCGGAGAATGAGAAGTTAGTGCATTAATAATTTAATAAAACTCCATGGCCACTACCAAGTGTCTCTAAAGCAGGGTTTGAAATATAGATGGGCCTCTTTAACGGCAAAAAAAAATTAAAGCACAATATCTAAAGGGATTTTTAAAATGAAACCATGGTACTTCAGTTTAAAAAGATGTATCAAATTTCACTGCAAAACAGGGAAACGTGAATTTAAATGTGTTTAGCCGTTTATTCACTTATTGCATTATATTTTATCATCTTTAATTTGATAATTTATTGCATCGACTACGTGTGGAATGTATACTCCCTTTGGTTTGAGTCTGTGTCCTTGCTCTGTGGTGCAAGAAAATGTTTGTAACCCCACAGATTTCATATTGCGATGTGAAATAGATCATTAGGTTATCTAGGTGAAATTTATCAAAATGATCAATCACATTGTTCTTTCAACGTTTCTCACCACCTGACACAACTGAGCTCTTTTCCTTTCGGCCCTTCCCCTACTTTGTACCCATGTTTGATACTTCGCTGAACACCAATTTCATATTTCCACCTCAAACCAGTTTTTAGCATGGCCGAGGATGACAAAAAGTTCAGTCGTTGATACTTATTTACACGCAAAGGCAAATATACTTCACCACATTTACATGTGATGTACACGCACATCTATCGGGAAGTCCCAAGCGAGACTGAGTATATATTGCACACGGTTCGCGAACTTCCCAAGTTTGTTGATAAACAAGCCCCAGAACGGCAAAACAAGTTACCACAGTTCACGATGCTCTCCACATGGTCCTCAGTAGCGTACATTTGAATATGTTGTTCCCTATGCATGATGGGATCGTTCAGGTTCTTTTGAGGGACGAGGTGGTGCGATGTTTTCATATGTGTCGGCCATTTTGTCGCCACTGCGAAATTGACTGCGGGATGGCCACGTTCCGTCAGGCCTCGGATAACGACGCTTGGGCGCTGCTAGCGCTAAAATCTGCCCCTGCCAGCCCAAGCAGGGTCCCGTGGATGGACGATGGTGACAAAGGCAGTGTCATTGCCCGCCTGGAGGGTCGGGACTTTGAGTTTTTGGTCCGAAAATCTCGCATCACGATCGGCCGGAACAGCAAGCAAGGCGAGGTAGATGTAAACATGGGACACTCCAGTTTTATCTCTCGTAAACACCTCGAGATCGTCTACGAAAACAGGAACTTCTTTCTAAACTGCAACGGAAAGAACGGGGTTTTCGTTGACGGGGTGTTCCAAAGAAGAGGTGCACAGCCCCTCCAACTTCCCAAAACGTAAGTTAGACGACATACTTCTTGTGTAATTTATGACCTAAACTTCAATTTTGGGGTATGATCCACGCTGCGAGAACGTGCGTGCTCTGTGTACATCTATCAGCTGGCTGGCTACTGCGCAAGCGCAAACCGAATATTGCAAAATCCAGCCGATCTTTGAAAGTAATATCTACTGATTATTAATATCCACTGTTTTTGACAAAACGTTGCATCCTGCCTCCATTTTTCATCAGTTGTGATCTTAGTGAACATGGTGAAGGTTAGCCCCACTAGTATGACTAGTGACTAGTGTGGCATGGACTCCCGCTCCATCTTTAGCCACACATCCTTATACGCATGTCCAGAATCTAAACTGCTGCCAACATTTTGGAAGAGCCCATTGGCACATGTAGTATCTTATCGCGCAGTCTGTGTATTAGATATGTTTTGACATGGAATAGCCGTTGAGACGATGAGGGGTCAAGTGACGTAATGTTCAACGACCTTATTTTAAAGATGGCGACTGTGAGAGCGAGTCCGTGAGATTGAATGGGTGAAGGCAAAAAGACTGGAAAATACCAAAACGTGAGTGAAATCATTCAATAAATGGCGCTAAGAAAGTGGAGAGGTTAAGGATCATCTGTGTGCAAAAGAAATTGCGCCCACGATGATAAGTGGGTGCGCTGAAAATTTCAGTAACACGAAATTGCGTAAACGGATGTGTGGCTAAGGATGGAGTGGGAGTGAGAGTCCGTGTCACACTAGTGGGGCTAGGTAAAGGTTAGTCATTGCAAAAATGTTGAAATGACATCAGGCCTAGTATTAGTGTTTTTAATTCTTGCAGCCAGACATCTGGGAACTCGATCTGTACATTATTGAATCGCACAAAGGGTAAATTTCCCCCTTTATCGCGTGTTAAATGTTCGTAGTGATGTCATGCTGACTGCGAGAATCCTTTCTGGTCATGACACCAAGGATTCCTCAAAAGCACCCTAGTCACTGTGGCTCACGAGCCTGCAGAAACCTGCAGTGAAGACATGGCAGAGATGAGACGATGAGAAACAATTAGGCCTACAGTTTTAGAGGTGGGAGGAGAACCCAGAGAAATGTTCTGGGTAAAACCCACGGAATCGGGTAATGAGTGAAAACCCGATCAACTTGTGGACCGAGCCGGGAATTTAAACTGTAGAGGTGAAAGGTGAGGAAAGAACGACTACGCCAACCTGACTTCCTGGGACTGAAATATATCTCAAACTTTCATGAAAATTGCTTCACAATTAGGGACAGATGCAACTATACACTTTTATCCAGGAGCTTGCAACTCGAGGTCACAGTGTGGTGATCACGTCTCATCATAATCTAGCAGTTTGTTTTCTCCACAAAAGGTCACAAAGCTCCTGCTTGTCGCAGAAAATTGCATCTTCCAATACTAAGCTCCCTCTGCGCATAACCAACAAAGTGGAGTCGGGATGCTACATGTGTAATCTTTCCGTATGGGCACATCTTCCACACATTGCATGCTTTTTCCAAAAGTCCATGCTTTTCTGCCTTCAAGCATAATGTGCATTGGGCGTACTCATCCGGAGAGATGGAGAGAAACAACCAAGTCTAATAATTCCTGTACAAGGTGGCTGCAGGGCTGGTGCTAGTCTTGGTTCCAGTCTTGGTTCCAGTCTTGGTTCCAAGACCTTCCAAGTTGTTCCATGACACGAACCATTACTCGTACACGTATGTGCATGTACATATACAGGGTACTTATGATCGCGACTTATGATCGGTGGAAGGTACGCAAATGACTTTCAACATGCTTCTTATTCAAGAATTATGTTTTCTTATTTAAAGGAACCAGGAAATAGAAATATTTTATAAATTTTACTAAAAACCTTGCAGTTACATATTTGGGTTTCAATTAACTTTATTTTACACTTATGTTTGGCAATTTTAACCCATATTTTGATTTTTTTTAATTTTTATGCTAATGATTTGCATATTCATGAGCAGAACTATGATGTCATCCAAGGCACTGAATCTCAATGTTGCACTGACTTGTGCACAGAAAATTTCTCGATTTTTTTACCACTGCTATGGCAGATTTCATTTTCTTTGGCAATTTATTGCAGTATAAGTATATGGCAACAATCCAGCAAAATTCCTATTCACAGAAAAGTTCCCTGATATCAAATTTAGGTTTCACAATTTGAACAAGAAAACATGAACCTGAACCATGTCTTCCTGGATTTACATCAAAGCAAAAGCGCCCTCACTTGTCCAGAAATGCTTGGTCAATTTTCAATGTTTGAAAAAGTGCACTGCTCAGTTCACATAACTCAAAAAAGATGTCAAACAGTCTTCATACATGGAAGAAGAGTACAGAGATACACAGGAAGGGATTCTAAGAAAAATTCAGCTCCTGGATCCTTCAAACATAGGCCAACATCAGAGTGAACATGTTTTTGTGGATGCTCATAGCTAAGCACTCGCCAAATATTTTTCTATAGCGCGGGCCAGCAGCCAAAAAGTTTCAAGCTACATGTAGCCTGATTGCCACTGGAAACCCAATTGTAGCTTGCGCGCAGGCAGCCCAATTGCTGACTCTGTGGCTGCCACGTGACCGCAAGAAGGAAAGGTCATATGACTGCACATACTGGGAAAGTCCAAGTCAAAACATACCCTTACTATGCGCTGCTCATCGCACTGTTAACGACGATTGATGAAATGTCATGGCATCATCTGGTTCAGCATTTTTACCATCTATCTGTTGTACTGCGACTTAGTTTATTGCCCCTTCCCAGAAATCAAAAAGCCCATCCTCCTGACACAGATATAAACTTGCAATGTTTTCCTGTTGTATCATGTATCTGCCATGAGTTGAAGTGCGCCTTCTCCGGCAAAAGAAAGACAGACTGGGACAAAATTTCCTAACGAATTTGCCAACCGAGTTCTCGCACGTGTTCCGCATGCACGCGAAGACCATACATTCCAGAAGAAATTTGTTGTACGTACTCGGCATTCCCTGCATCAAACGCACATAAAATTGTGCCTATGTGGTAAGTTCATATACTGAGGAATGTCAATTTCAGGGCTCGAATTGCGTTTTTTGGAGAGGGCACTGCCATTTTGGCCTCAAGAAATGGGACATGTTGAAGGGCACTGTGGCCAATAATGGGCAACAAGGCCAAAATATCTGCAAATGAAAGGCACTGATGCTGAGGTGTAATATATTGTACAAAATGAGTAACGAAACTGGAAAAATGAAAAATGGTGTTTTTATGTGCTTGAGCTTTTATATTTAAGTAATTTATAATCCATGACAAAACATCATATATCCGAAAGGAACAGGCACATTTCCTGACAAAGGATTGCTTAATTTAGAGAAAATTTATTAAAAAAAAACCATAATTCAAGTGAATTAAACCATAGATTAAACAGAGAACATGTTTTGTTTCAATGTTGACGCATCCTTTTCCGACTGCACAGTGCGAGCTTACCAACCAAAACACCATTCGTCGTAAGGTTGACCAACCCATTTACATCACGGAATAATCAGTTATGCACTTGTAGTTGAGCCTACCGCATACGGCCAATTGTTTGGCCATCGACTTTGGTGGCTTAGTGAAATTCGAGCTCTGCAATTTCATTGAAAAACACGCCCTCTTTTGTTCCCGCTCAGAGCGGATAGTGCATCAGTGCTTTGTCTCAAAGGGTCAAGGCAATGAAGTTTTCTTGGCCCCTTCTTCCTGTAGCAGTCCACTCTTCTTTGATGTTGGAAAGCCATTGTGCATTTATTCCCATTTGCTTTTTCAGAATGATTGATATAACAATTGCATTTGGGTAAGAAGTTAACAAATTCAGCTAGTCAAAAGATCTAGATTTAAATTAATTCAAGGAAAAATCCTTCTCCAACCCCTGACATTGTTCTGAGGTTGATGTACAAGGATGCTTGTTCCTTTGAAATGCAAAATTTTTTTCTGGTACTGTTTACAAACCATAGATCCAAAAAAAATTATATTTATGTCATTCAAATAACTATGACACTTGGTTATCATTCCTCAAAATGCTTAAATTTCAATGTACTGTCAACAGACCTGAAACCTCACCCCCAGTCTTGGAGAACTTGCTCTAAATTGCAGTTACATTTCATTGTGGAGACTTAGGGGAATGAAGTCTTTCTCAAAAATATGTATCTTTGTATGTATTCTTTCCCTAGGAAATGCATTCAATTTGCACGAGGTCGTGATTTGGTTTTTGCATGCCTAGGAGCATTAAAAAAAAAAAAAATACATCTTGCCTGTGTTGACACTTAGGGAAAGGATTTAAAGATGATTCCTATGCGAGTGTGCTGACGTCAATTTCTTCCCTGTTTGGACCCGAGATGTTTTTCTGAGGGACAGGTAGTGATGATATGGTAGTTATGACTGCAAGGCTGTTGACTCTTTGACTGTTCTTGAGGGCAGATGTGTTTATCCCAAAGATGTTTTGATTTCGGTCGTTTGACTGAGATGGTTTTGTTGATTGTTATCTGAACAAAGATAATTGTGAAAATTATTTGGATCTCATTTTAAACACCCACATGTTTAATGCGTTTCATGTATGCTACCTAAACGATGCTGTAAGCTTTGCTTACGTAATTTCTTGTATGAGGTTAATCAGTCAGTGGCTTGATTAAAGCATATTATTTAAACAAAAATCATCCCTTGTAGATGGTTTGTTTTTAGACCAGGAAAAAGCACTGGGAGATAGATGATAATCAAGATCATGGAACAAATCCAGAATAAGGACAATTGTTGGGTGTTTGTGGAGGTATTTTTTCCATTTGAGAAATCCCAGCTCACCCCTGCTTATCAAGGAGTGAGAAGATTATAGTGGGTCGTCAGAGGTCATATCAACATCTGGGGTGATTATGCGCATGACCATGTGTTTTCCTTCATGTGTTGACCCATTACATTACGTGTGTACTTGTTAGAAAGACACGGTCGGACTGTCTCTTTTAATTTTCTGCCTTGAACCAAGACAGTGTTTGT